GGGATCCCGAGTTTCACATACGCTCGTGACAGAGAGTTTTGATATAATCCCAAAAGGAGGGCTACACGAGCCCTTTTACCCTGGGTTCCCGGCGCCATACTGGGCGCCCCCAACTCCGTTCCCCTTAGAGCCCCCCATCCCGTTTACCCCCCCCCCCCCCCCCCCCGGTCCCTCGCGGCCGCGCGACGCCGCACCAATGGCGCGCTGTGCCTCGTCCGCGAGCGCCGTCCAGAGCTGCACCGACAGTCGCTGCAGCGCAAACGGCATCCATTCGCGCGCCGACCACGACGTCTGGTCGTACTGCCACCACGTGAGCTTCCGGCCCGCCACCTCAGCCACCCGCATCAGCAGCTCCTCCACCCCTGCGCTCATTGCGCCGAACTCCTCGAAGAGCAGCGCCTCCACATGGCACTTCCCCTCTGCGTCCGTGTACTGGCCCTTGACAGCCTCAACCGTCCCGGTCCCCGTCCGCGGATCCCACCGTCCCACCCTCCCGCCCCTGTCCCCGCCCTCCACGCCCAGAACCGTCTCGCGGGCGCGTGGCAGCGTGTTGCCGCAAGCGACGAACGCCCCCGTGCGCCCCACCCCCGAGGGGTCCGACGGCACACCGGCAAAGATCTTCGTGTCGCCGATGCAGGGCAGGTCCCCGATCACGCCCTGGTAAATGTACAAGTCCGTCCTCGTAGTGCTGTGCTCGCAGTGAAACTCGTGCTCCACCGCGCCGCGCCCCAGCTTACTCCCACTCCGGCGCCCGCCCCGCCCCACCCCAACACCCCCACCCCAGCCGCGCCCCACCACGCTCAAGATCAATCAAGATGACACGCGTGTTCCCTTCCTCCGCACCAACATGCAGGCCTCTGGTGAGTCCTCGGCCTCGACCGCACCTGCATCCTCCCGCGTCGGTGCAAAGCACGCGCTCTTCGGCGGCTGCGCGGCGACGCGAGCTCGGCTTGCACAATCGCCCGCCATGACGCTGGCCAACTCGCTCGTTCTTACGCTGCTGGCGGCGGTTTCCTCGTCCTCGGCACCGCGCCTCGCCCCGCTCGCGCTCCTTCTTCTGGCGGGTCGCTGCGAGGCGTACGGCACTGTCTGCGACAACAGCGTGTTCGGCACGTCCCTGTGCGACGGCAACTACACGGGCACCAGGGTGAATCTGGACAACGAAGGGCTGTCGGGGACGATCCCTCCGCAGCTATTCGACATATCGCAGCTGACGCGCCTTGACCTGGGCTGCGGCAACGCCTTCGGCTGCGGCAACTCCATCTCGGGCACCATCCCTCCGGAGACGGGCAAGCTCTCGCAGCTGGGGTTTCTTCGTCTGAGCGGCAACTCCATCTCGGGCACCATCCCGTCGGAGACGGGCAAGCTCTCGCAGCTGAAGTCTCTTGGTCTGGACAGCAACTCCATCTCGGGCACCATCCCTGCAGAGATAAGCAAGCTCTCGGAGCTGGAGTGGCTTTACCTGAACGACAATGACATCTCCGGCACCGTGCCGTCGCAGCTCAACAACCTGCCGCTGAGGCGATGCTGGCTGGGCGGCACCAACCACTTTGCCTGCCCCCTGCCCGCCCTTCCCAATGTCTGCACCTCGGGTTCCTTTCCTCCTGAGTGCAACTACCCGCCGCCCTCGCCGGCCTCGCCTCCATCGCCGCCCCCGCCGTCTCCTCCGCCGTCTCCTCCGCCGTCGCCGCCGCCATCTCCACCGCCTCCCTCTCCAACACCACCGATGTTGCCGCCATCACCGCCGTCGGCGCCGCCGCAGCCTCCCTCGCCGCCGTCCCAACCTCCCCTGCCGCCCCCGCCGCCCACGCAGCCCCCCGCAGCACCTTTGCCGCCGCTCCTTCCACCGCCAGGCCCGGGAGGCCAAGAGGCCAGCGGGGCCGACACCCTTGCGATCGCGGTGGGGTCGAGTGCTGGGGCCATCGTCCTCGTCGCCGCGATCGGCTGCAGCTGCGCGCTCGTATACCGACGGCAGACGAGGAAGTGAGTCGGAGCAGGGCGCGCGAGGAGCGCGTCACGGTCCGAGTGGAGCCACACCAGGAGGTGGAGCTCGCGCAGGTGGAGCCACGCCAAGAGCCCGGTGGCGACAAATAGGGTTTGTGGAGCGTCCAGACAAGTCCAGAAGGTCCAGAAGGTGTCCAGAAGGTGTCCAGAAGATGTCCAGAAGATGTACCAGAAGGTGTCCAGAAGGTTGGAAGAGAATGTCCGAGAGTCCTCTGCAGGTGCGCAGACGGCCTCAGGTGTAAGGTAACGTAAGGTAAGGTAAACTTCTCCACACACACGAGGTGGTGGGGCAAGGGGGGGCAACCCTCGCGTCTCCACGTCTAACGACAGGAGCCCCACGGCATTCAAAGTGCAAGGCCCGGTGCGCGTGGGTGAGCGGTGTGTGTGTGTGTGTGTGTGTGTGTGTGTGTGTGTGTGTGTGTGTGTGTGTGTGTGTGTGTGTGTGTGTGTGTGTGTGTGTGTGTGTGTGTGTGTGTGTGTGTGTGTGTGTGTGTGTGTGTGTGTCTCACGTCACTGCATCCTCTGCCGGTTCCTCCCGTCGCCTCTTTTTTGTTCGAATGTTTTTCAATCCATCCTTCACGAAGCCCTCCCATGTAGCTAGCGTTCTTTGCGAATGTCTCGAAATGGCCAGCAGGCGCTGTCTGCTCGCGACCTGTGCGGGCCGCTCGTCCTCCTCGCCCTTCTTTCGTCCTCCCGTCCCTCCCCTCCACCATGGCCTCCTCGGCACTTCTTTCTCCATCCGCCTCGCCCTGCCTTTTCGTATCGTGCCGTTCGCCCTCCATTCGGTGACCTCCATGGCTGTCCGGCTCCTTTTGGGTGGCACTCTCGATACCCACCGTTGCGTCAACCTCGACGTCGCTGTCGCCCTCCCCGTCCCCGCCGTCGCCCGTGCCTCGGTTCGCGTCATCGGTAGCGCCTCCGTTGTTCCCTCGTGCCCTGCCGTCGCCCTCTCTGCTCGGGCCGTTCGCGATTTCGCTCTTCCTGCGTGTCGCCCCTCCGTCTCCCCCCCTGCCTTCGTCGTCATCGTCGCTGTCGCGAAAGCCCTCCGGTCCCTCGATTCCCTCGTCTATCCCCTCCGCTGCGTCCTCCCAGTTTATATCCTCATCCTCTGTGCGCGTTGTCGTTCCCTCCCCTTCTCCATCGTTGTCGCCTCCGTCGACTGTGGCGCTGCCTCTTCCCTCGCCTCCGTCCTCCTCGTCTCGCCTGCCATCGTCCCGTGTCTCCTCGTCCTCGCCATCGCCTTGGCCGTTGTCTACCTGTTCAGGTGTTGTACAGAAGGTCCAGAGTCAGGGAAAGCCGTAGGTCACACGTGTCTCAAAGACGTCGGTCGTGTCCACGGCTGAGTGAGCAACCCATCGGCGGTACTCCCTTCTCCCCACCTCCGACGGGTTAGGTCGGTGCTGCGCCCCTTTGGCGCTTGTGTGCATGCCCCGCGTGCCCGCCTGCCAGGGCTGATGCCGAGGCCAAATCAACAACATGCCCGGCTGATGCCAAGGCCAAACAACTGCCTGGCTGGTGCCGAGACCAAAATCACCCCGTTTTTGCCCATTTTCGGTCATCCGTCAAAATATCTGAAGATCCTACTATAGGATTCTCCCCAAACCTTGCTCAGCTGATCCAGCCTGGGGGGAAGGCCAGCCCTGGGCAAAGAAACCAGCACCTCATCGGGCTTCCCTGAGCGTCACAGCTCGGTGATCGCGCCGGCCGGACACCACTGTAACGTCCGTTCCGGGCATTTGAACGCGACCTTCGGGGGCAAAGACATGGGCTCTATGGCTCAGACTGGACTCCTCTTGGTCCCTTCTGATGCCCAAGGCCACACCTGGGCCTTACCTGGGGTCCTAGGGGCCGGGCAGGGTTTGCCCCCCCCCCCAACTGGCCCGAGTCACCTTAAGTTCTTTTCGCGCCAGTCCGCGCCCTTGTCGTGCCAGTGTGCTGTGAGAGAGGCTTGTGTTTTAAGAATTCTTTTCCCTGGTGTTGTGTATATATGTCCGACGTCAGAGCTCTTGACGTCAGTCCTGGCGCCACGGCGGCCAGGGCGATCAACAGGTCATTTTGGAACTCGGCCGTCGTCAAGAGGCAGGTCGCCGCCTTTGACCGTGAATGTGAGTGCACTCGCGCTCTTCACGCCGACTACGCCCAGCGGCTGGACCGCGTGCTCATTCTCGACGGCACGGGCTTCCGATGGGAGGGCCTCGGCAACTCGGGCACTCGCTGGATGGGCCTACTGCGCTTTGGCTTCGCCACAGGCCGCGCAACCTACCTGCAGCTGTCTCGCGAAGACGACGCGACGCCACGGCTCGACATCGGCGACTACTTTGTCGGCCACGGAGGCGTCGACTGGTCGTGGCGCTCGCAGGCTCGCGCTGTGCGCGCCCGCATGGCTGGTCGTGGCGTGCGCAGGCCGCTGGTGGTCGAGTACGGCTGCGCGCGCCGTTCGCCGCCCGGCTGCGCCCTCGCACGCCTCCGCCTCAGCAACGGAAGCCAGCTGCTGCTCGCGGAACCTACCGGCGTGTTGGAGTGGCTGCGGAGCGAGAGCACCCCCCGGTGGGTGCGGATCGTGCTGCAGCAGCAGGACTCGCTCGAGTTCTCCTACTCCAAGCCAGAGGCGCTTCGCCCCACCGGCGCCCTCCCGCTCGTGGCTTGCCCGGCACAGCACGCGCCTCGCTTTCGGGTGCAGCTGAGATGCCGCGAGCAAGCCACGTGCCATTCATTCCAGCACCCGTAGTACTTTGACGGGCCGGGGTCAGCCGCGAAGAGTTTCGGCAGATCACCTCGTCGACCGCGCCGCGCGCGATCCTTGAGTGACCACTGTGCGTTGAGATTGACTCGACGCGCGGCTCGTCCTCAACTTTAATGAGTGAATGGATGGAGTAGACGCGCGAGCTCGTCCTCAATTAATTAATGAATGGATGGATTAGACGCGCGAGCTCGTCCTCAAGTGCGAGACGTACGCCCTCATGCAGCCGCGGCCCAAACTGTTGGACCTGTGCCACGCGTCGACCTGGTCACAGCGTCTACCCATTCAAGCTGTGAGCAGGCCCAAGCTGATGGCGGCGCTGCTGCCGACGCTGGCGCGGCTGGAGCCGTACACGCGGGTCGTCGGCGTGCACCTGCTCTGTGAACGGCGTCTCTTCACGGCTGAAGCTGTGAATAGGTACACGCGGATCGTCGGCGTGCATTTGCTCTGTGAACGGCGTCTCTTCACGGCTGAAGCTGTGAATAGGTACACGCGGATCGTCGGCGTGCACTTGCGCACCGGCTATGCCGACTGGTCGCACCGCAAGACGACGACTCGTACTTTGGGCCTGTTCACAGCTTGAAGAGGTAGACGCTGTGAATAGGTCGTACCGCAAAACGACGACTCGTACTTTGGGCCTGTTCACAGCTTGAAGAGGTAGACGCTGTGAATAGGTCGTACCGCAACGACGACTCGTACTTTGGGCCTGTTCACAGCTTGAAGAGGTAGACGCTGTGAATAGGTCGTACCGCAACGACGACTCGTACTTTGGGCCTGTTCACAGCTTGAAGAGGTAGACGCTGTGAATAGGTCGTACCGCAACGACGACTCGTACTTTGGGCTTGCGCGACGCAGCGAGAAGGGAGGCGGAGGCGGCGGAGGAGGCGGAGGAGGCGGGGGAGGCGGGGGAGGCGGGGGAGGAAGAGGTGGTGGTGGCGGCGATGGGAGTAGGGGGTTGGTGGGCGGGGGGCAGAGCTGGCGTGCGCACTGGCGGCAGCTAAGCGACTACTTCAAGGACTGCCGCACCGGGCGGGCGGGACGGGCCACACGTCCTTGGATGGCGAGGGTTGCTCTTTGTTTCTTCATAGGACTGCCGCACCGGGCGGGCAGGACGGGCCACACGTCCTTGGATGGCGAGGGTTGCTCTTTGTTTCTTCCTAGGACTGCCGCACCGGGCAGGATGGGCCACCAGTCATTGGATGGTGAGGGTTGCTCTTTGTTTCGTCATAGGACTGCCGCACCGGGCAGGATGGCCCGTGCTTCAACTGGGAGGCGCCTCACTTGGGTCGACAAGAACTACGGCGCAGCCCCCACCGCCCCACGAACCGCCACTCACACCAGCAGCTGCCGACCCGTATAGGTCGCTCCCGCGGGCGGGCACCCGTTCCTTTCTACCCATCTCCTGGAGTGAGGCGCCCGTTTTTCTTTAGTTAGGTCGGCCCCCCACGCGCGACGACGCCCTCCGCTGCGCCGTGTCCTCTCGCAGCCTCCCGCGCGGTTGGGTGCGCAGCGATATCTCCCCCATATCTCCCCCACACCTCCCCACACCTCCCCACACCTCCCCACACCTCCCCACACCTCCCCACACCTCCCCACACCTCCCCACACCTCCCCCACACCTCCCCACACCTCCCCACACCTCCCCACACCTCCCCACATCTCCCCCATACCTCCCCCCCATCGCCCCCACATCTCCCCCACATCTTTCGCGGGTGGGCGCGCCGCGGATCGCCGCCGCCGCCGGCCCCGTTCCGCTGTGCGCGGCGTCTCTTCACGCCTCCCAGCTGTGAAACAGGTGCGCGAGGAGCCGCCGCCATGGGCCCGCGCTGACGCACCACACGGCTACCTCTCGGCGCTGCTGCCCTGCGGTGCGCGGCCGTCGTCCTCTTTTTCTTTTCTACGGCCCCTTCCTTGTCTTAGGCGCTGCTGCTCTGCGGCGCGCGGCCGCTGCATTTCCTTTCTACGGCCCCTTCCTTGTCTTAGGCGCTGCTGCTCTGCGGCGCGCGGCCGCTGCATTTCCTTTCTACGACGCCTTCCTTGTCTTAGGCGCTGCTGCTCTGCGGCGCGCGGCTCGCGCAGAGCATCGCCGCGGCGAGGAGTGCGGAGGCACTACCGCACCACCCACGGGGCTGAAGCCACACTGGGTTCGGTACTCTGGGGGTATGGGACTAGGCGAGCATCGCCGCGGCGAGGGGTGCGGAGGGGGGCGGCGGACGCGGGCTCGTGCCGTCGCAGGGGCGGAGTCGCCCGTTAACGAGTGATAGTCACATCTTTCGCTGGTATGTTGACAGGCTCGCGCCGCCGCAGGGCGGAGTGCGCGGCACGAAGGCGGTGCGTAGCGGTCAAGGCACCGACACGCGTGGTACCTTCGTCTCTCCCGGCTCTGCCCAGATCGTCCTTTTCCCTGGTCAGGTCCGGGCGCCGCCTCATGGGGCCTCCTCGTCCTGTCGGACGCTCCCGCGGTGTGCGCGCCGCCCGCGGCCTCGGGCCCCCATTCCGTTGTGGATTTGTGTTTTTTTTTTTTTG